TGAGTTTAAAACTAGCATGAACTACATAGCAAGACCTTGTTTCGAAAAGCAAAACAAACAAAAATAATAATAATAAAAATAAACACCATAGTTGAATTTAGTTTCCACTCTCTTACTGTCTCATGAGCATTAAATTTCATCATATGAACCTTTACGTAATACTCTCAAACCATTTCAACACCATGGAAACAGTGAAATGAAACTTAAAGACTAAAAAGACCACAGAAAGTCAAGCATGTTGGTGCATACTTGAGCCCACAAGTCCAAGGCCAGCCTGGGCAACACGGTGAGACCCTGTCTCAAAGATACATATTTTATCATTCCATTTGAAATGTCTAGAGTAGGTTTACCTATTTGAGATACATCGGAAATTATATGAGTGATTACCAGGAGGCGGGTGAAAGTATGGAGAGGGGTAGGGAGGTTTCTTAAGATGATATAAATTTTCTAAACTTAGATTATGGTAATGCCATATAACTGAATATTGTAAAGCAATTGAATTGTACACTTTAATTATGTGAATTTATGGCATTTACATTGCAATAAAGATGTTTAAAAGTATTTCATTTGCACAGAGAACGTATACACCATAAAGGAACTCTGTATTTTGGTTCTTATTCTTGTCTACCATAGTGCCTTAGACATAGGAAACATGGAAATAAATGCATTAAAAAATAGAATATCCTAACTTAAATATAGCATTCTCTGTCTTAGTGAAATACTAAGAGTGGTCAACTATAGAAACATTTCAGAAAGCCCTTCAAAGAAGAACAGTAAATATGTTTTTTGTCAGAAAATGTGAAATACTTAAAGACAGAATAGCTGAATATGGAAAATTACAACAGAAAAGAGAAAGTATGAAGTTGGATAATTCCTACTATATAAAACCATTAATTTTTACTCAATAAATGAATGCAGGTCTGGTAAGAGAATCAATTCACAGATGAAAGTTTTTTGTGGGGGAGATAGCTCAGTAGAATAAGCGCTTGCCTGGCAAGCACAAGGGCCTAAGTTCAATCCCCAGTTCTGACAAAAAAAAATGTGTTGGATTTTCTGGAAAAATATAGAACCAATAAATAAAATCCACTTATTCTTTCATTTACATAATTTGTGTGTGTGTGTGTGTGTGCATGCATGTGTTTGTGTTAAATTGAACTATGTAGCCAACCTTTTTTACTTTATGTATTTGAAACAGGGTCTTGCTATGCAGCTCAGACTCGTAGTGATCCTCCTGTCTCAGCCTCCCGAGGACTGGGATTACAGGTGTGTGCCGCCACGCCTGGTCTTGGTGGCCGGCTCAGTGCACCTGCGGTGGGGCTGGCACTGCATGTGGTACTGGGTATCAAACCCAGAGCCTTGTGCTTGCCTAAGCAGGCACTTAGATTACTGAACTGTCTCTGCAACCCATGTCCAGCGCTTTTAAGAAATATATTTCTTTTGACATAAAACCTTGCTAAGTTGTCTTGGCTAGCCTCAAGGTTGCCATCCTCCTGCCTCAGCCTCCAGAGTAACTAGGATTATAGTTGTGTCCCACCATTAACCCAGTACTTTTTTGATTGATTTGTGTTATTATGCCATTTACATTAAGCACAGTTAAGCTCTATTACACTAATGGTATTATACTTTTGTACCTTAGTAGGATATACACACATGTGCATATACACTCATAAGACATACAGTAATACGTGTTATAAGAGAAGTCTAAGAAGTGTTATTGGAACTCAGAAGTGGCATTTGAGCTTGATTTAGACATGCAGTGTTAGGAAGAAGAAGGGCATTTCAGTCAAAACAAGCAGTTTTAGAAATCATGGAACATTCAGTTTACTCAGTATTCATGAAGAGAGTAATGGAATATAAAGTTAGGGTTGTGTTCCAGCTCTACCATGTACTACTTTTTAGAATTTATTTAACCTCTTCCTCAGCATCTTTTTAAAAAACTGAGTTACCTTACCTCTGGATTATTGGAAGAATTAGATAAACTAACAAACGTTAAGCACTTACCACACTGGTGCACAGTGAGTGCTCAATAGTGTTTCCTATGTTTTGACATAGAAAGGCTTGAATACCAACCTAAGCCATTTGAGCTTTCATGTTGTGGGAAGCACCAAATAGAGGAGTAACATAATCAGACCAATCAATGATCTGGAGATGAGCAAAGGAGAGAGCAGAGACCAGACAAAGCCACTGCAGTAGTGCTGGAGAGGTGATGAGAAATTGAGCTGAGGTATTGGTAGTGTGTAAGTCGTGCATGAAACTATAAGAATTGCTGACATTTTGGTGGTGGTAACACAAATAGGAAACTAGAGAACGAATAGGTTTGAAGGTGAAGTTTGAGATACCAGTGGATCTTCCAAGAACTGTGATATGCAGTTTGGACATTCCATACTGGAGGTTAGGACTTGGGAGAATGCGGTAGTTAATACCCAAAGGTAGCCGAGAGATGGTATAGGATTACTGAGAAGAAGGACTATGGGGTTCATGGAGAAGATAGTTAAGGACGGAACCTTGAAAGGTGGGAAAATAAAGACAAAGCAAACAACATGATTTCATTGCCCATCATAAAACTTTGTTGTTCCTCTCTTGTATTATATATACCTTTCCTTCTTTCTTGCCAACTGATTATTTTACTATCTTCCTGAGTACCACCACTAAATGCACCATCTGTAGTGCCCCTTACATAAGTTTAAAGAGTGATATATTTGTTTTCACACATCCTCTAAATCCATTTGCTTTTCTTATAAGGCTAACATGCTAGGATCTATTGAAATGCAAACCACTTTCATTTTGTTTTGATGTGTACTTGGTTTTTTGTCTTTTTGAGACAGGGTTTCTCTATGCAGTTCAACCTGGCCCATGTAGGCCAATTTTATTCATGAAGGCCATATTTGGTATTACAGGAAGCTAAGGTGTGAAATGTGTTGTGAATGTTCACAAAAGTTACAGGGAGATATGGACAATTTTTAGATACTACATGCCTGATTTTCATTGCAAGTTCACAAGTTGATTTTTACCTTGTAATTTCTTAGTTCTACAGAAAGAGCAGAATAGTTAAAAGAGTAACAGTGAAGTTCCCACCCCGATGATACACGGTATGAAACTGCCTATTGATTTCTCAGTGGTTTTGTTGGTTCCTTTAACCCTTAGTGCTTATAACTGCCAGGCATGGAAGGTGATTTGAGGCCATCATCCTGGGCTTTTCTGAAGAACTGAGGGAATGTCTGTTTATTCCTGACAAAGGCGAGTTCTTTGTCACAATGGGGAAATGATTTGAATTGGCTAATTTACTTCCTTTGTTTCTGACTGGAGCCTTGTGTTTTAATTAACTTTTACAACTGAATAATGGGCAACAGCCATAATCCAGTTGGCTGGCAGATAAACTACACTGTGTTATATTGCAATATAAAACCTGTGCATAAGCCTTTTATAATGGAAAGGTTTTGTGGCACTTTAAAATTAACAAGCTAGCTTTATTCTCTGCATATACCACAAGGCTTTTTATAACCTTGTTATTCTGTTCTTATGTTAGGGGATGCTGGAAATATCTCTCTCTCTCTCTCTCTCTCTATATATATATATATATATATATATATATATATATATTTGTTGATCTTTCTTGCATTTAAGAAACTTACAAGTCAAGCTGTTTTTAAATATACTTTGAAAATTTACTGGTTGCTTTTTTTTTTCAGAGTCTCTCTGTGTAATCTAAGCTGGCTTTGAACTCACTAGCCAAAGCTGGCCTTGAACTCAGTGTTTCTCTTGCCTCAGCCTCCAAAGTGCTGGGGTTACAGGTGCATACCACTATGCTCCACAACTTACTTTTAGAATTTTAACTAAAGTCAGCCTATCCCTGTAGTATCTACATACTGACCACTAAAAACTTTCAAATTAACTTCTCCCTGAACAATAGTTTGCTAGCATGAGGAAAGGGTTATGGCTTGGCAAGTAAACGTATACTACTCTGTTTTTGTTTACTATAATGAAAATGGGTAAACTTGTAAAGAAAACGGCCCTTTCAGCTCACTGTTTTGGAGTTTCATAGGCATGGCACTGGTGTTAGCTTGGCTCTGATAAAGGCCTTACAATAGGTAGGATCATGATGATCATAGTATGTGTGCAAGGAAAAGATTATGTGGCCAGACAGGACAACATGAATGTGACTCAGGAATCAGGGTCCCTCTTTTATAACGTCTTATTTCATGAGAAATAATTCAGAGCCGTTTGAAATCTACTTTAATCTCTTCAGAGGACAGCACTCTCAATAATGTAACAAACTTTCCACTAGGCTACTCCTCTTAAAGGTTCTATACCATCTTTTAACCTTGCCACTCTAGGAACAAAACTTTCAACATTGGAACCCTTGGAGTACAAGCTACATCTAAACCGTAACAGTTATATTCAGAACTTTATTTTTTTACTTTTTTGTGTTTTAGTGAAGGGTCTATAGGGTGTTCAGGGTCTCACTACTAGATTGGACTCATACTGATCCACCTGTTTACAGCCTCACAAGCACTAGGATTACAGGCTTGCACCACCACACCCAGTCTCAATTGCCTTCTCAGCATGCCCTGGGGGCAGGGCCAGCATGGCAGGCCCGGGAATTGAACCCCAGCCCCTGCGCCTACTTGCGGGTGCTTTAATCTGCTGAGCTATTTGACCAGCCCTAATAACTTTAAATAATATGTGAGTAACATTTAGAGGTAGGGTTTTTTATTTATTTATTTATTTGTGTGTGTGTGTGTGTGTGTGTGTGTGTGTGTGTGTGTTTCTTTTGTTTTTGAGACAGGATCTTTCTGTAGTTTAGGCTGGCCTTGAACTCTATATAGCCCGGCCTAGCCTCTAACTTAGAATAATCCTCCTGCCTCAGCCTCTGAGATTATAGGCATGTGCCACCATGCCCATTTTAGCACTTAAGAGATATTTTTAATGTGGAGAATTTGAGGCAGGGCTCCATAGGATAACATACTTATGGCAACTTACAGTTTAATTTCTTCTTGCAGTAAGTACAAATGGATACTTGGTGAAGAACCTGTGGAAAAACGAAGACGGCTCCAGAATGAGATGACTGCATCGCCTATAGATTATTCCATGCATGGCTCTTTGAGGAAGGTAGAGGCAGTTGTTCCCTATCCAGAAGGGGAGAAGAGTCATGAAAAATCTAGTTCTGAGAGAAGTACACCACCATATCTTTTCCCAGAATACCCAGAAGCAAGCAAGAATACAGAACAGAATAAGGAAGTTTCAGTTCTATATCCAGGGGCCCAAGACCAATACCAGGAGTCCCTGCTTCCTGAAGAATTAGAAGATCAGATGCCAAGACTGGTAGCAGAAGAATCTAACAGAAGTAGCACATGCATAAACAAAGAAGATGTACACAAGGGACCATTTGTAGCTGTTGTTGGTGTTGCGAAAGGTATGAGAGATTCAGGAGCTCCCATTCAGCTTATCCCTTTTAACAGAGAGGAGCTTGCTGATAGAAGAAAAGCAATTGAATCCTGGAACCCAGTGCCTTATTCTTCTATGGCCGCTACTACAATTTCTGCTATAGCCATTGGAGAGAAACAAAGAGGTTGCAAGGAAGCCACAGGTCATAATACACCAAAGATGAATAACCAAAGTGAGCTGGAAGAATTGAAGAGAACAACAGAAAAATTGGAGCGTGTTTTGGCTGAAAGGAATTTGTTCCAGCAAAAGGTTTGGGAAACATATTATCACTAAGAGTAAGAGATTTTCATTAATCAAGGGACTGGGATGTTGATGCCCTGATGATTCCATATTCTGATGTCCTTAAACAAAATGCAGTATGTCTTTAAAACATTCTGTGGTATGTCTCAGGCTTAGGGAATTCTAATGGGCTTCCTTCCCACATGTGATTGTAAAGGGCTTTCTATAAGTAGAGAAGTACAAGTATGCGAAATGAGACCACAGAGTAAAATAGGGTAAAGATAATTTTTAGTACTCTGTTCCCCTTTCAGTAGTATGTGGAGCCACTGAATTTCTGTTTCTTGAACTGCAGGTGGAGGAACTAGAACAAGAGAAGAATCACTGGCATTCTGAATTCAAGAAGGTTCAACATGAATTGGTAACCTACAGTACCCAAGAGACAGAGGGCTTGTACTGGAGCAAGAAACACATGGGTTATCGCCAAGCTGAATTCCAGATTCTGAAAGCTGAGCTAGAACGAACCAAAGAGGAAAAGCAAGAATTAAAAGAGAAATTGAAGGAGACACAGACACTCCTGGAAGTGCTGCAGAAGGCTCAGGTCTCCTACCGGACCCCAGAGGGAGATGACCTAGAAAGGTTAATTACTAGGGTTTAGTTATCAGCTTGTGAGTGCTAATGGGAAGCGTCCCTTAAGACCCCCAGCTACTGGCCATAGACAGTAAGGAAGCCTTAATTCATAGGCCTGCCACCATGATTGAGTAAGTACTTAGAAAGATGTAACAAGATGTTCTGTACTTGGTGGCGTTGTGCTTTCTTCTTTTTTTCTAGATAATGGAAACTTAATTTTTGAGAAAATTAAGGCCCATTTTGAAGGGGCTACATTTTATTTTGTTGGCTAATGACTTCATGTCATCTCTTCTCCTGCCCCCTCACTCCATCATACAGGGCTTTGGCAAAGCTTACACGGCTGCGTATCCACATCAGCTATCTCCTTACTTCTGTCCTCCCTCACTTGGAGCTTCGTGAGATCGGGTATGACTCAGAACAAGTGGATGGGATCCTGCACACAGTGCTGGAGGCAAATCACATACTGGATTAAGCATACTATATAAATTCTTCTCTTTCACTTCTCTTCTCAGCCTATCTACTGTTTTCTACTCTCTTTTCCCTCCCTTCTCCCTCTCTAATCCTCTCTAGTTCTTTTCCTTCCTCTCCCCTTTATTCCTTATATTGAGAATCTGAGTAAATCCTGGCTCTTAGTCAGTCTACTTCTTACTAAGTTTTAGTATGGAGAAAGGAGTCATTTAAATAGACTTTCAAGAGTCCAGGAGCAAAAAACCAACAGTCACCAAGCTAGGGGACCTAGAAGGTTTAATTTTCATGGCCTAGATATCTTCCCTATTTCATATCCTTTCTGAGGTGATTCATATCCATTTAGATTTAATCAGTCAGCAAATATTGGGTCTAGTGTACCTGGTATTTAGGAACAGGCTAAGAAATTTAATTCATGGTTCTAGCTTGTTCCCGTTTCAATAGTCTGGTTGGAAACACAGGACAACCAAATTAACTGCACAAAAGTGAGTGGTACAAACATGACATAGTGAATCTGGAGGAGGAAGTCTGAGGAAGGTACCACATCAGAAATGGTACCTACTCTTACGGTTTAAAGAATAAGCATGACCACACTATTAATGTGGTTGTTCCTTAGGTGGTAGAACTATGATGATATTTTTCTTCTTCCTTTCTTCCTGACCTTTTCAAATTTTCAACAATAAATTTGTTATTCTTCTTACATTGGAAAAATAAATTGTTTTTAAAAAGGACAAGTAGGATTGGATTTGGGTATCAGATGAGACTTGTGAAATTTTAAAATAATATTCTCTTTATAATTTATGTCAAACTTAGCATTACCTCTAGAAGAGCAGCATAAGCAAAGGCATGGAAAAACCCAGAATGTGAAAAATGTGTTTGGTAGAAGTGGTAGGTTAATGTAAAGGGAAATGATGTTAAATCATAACCCACTTATCCACCTTCTATGGTATTTAAATTTTAATAAGAGATTCCTGCCAGGTGTGGTGGTGCATGTCTGTAATCCCAGCACTTGAGAGGCTGAGGCAGGAGCATAGTTGTGAGTTTAAGGCCAGCCAGAGCTACATAAGTGAGTTTAAGGTCAGCCTGTCCTACAGAGTGAGACCCTGCCTAAAAGAAAATATAGAGAGTCTTAAAAACAAACCTTCAATTCCCAAAATTTTAAAATATGTATTAGTAAACTGTGGGATTTTGCACAGGGGACATATTAGAGAAGGGAGATCTATATGCTGTGCCTCAGAATATGCCTACCTAATCTAGGCTATCCTGAGGGCTAGATCTCATAGTAATAGAAATAGTCAAACTCATACTCTTGCAAAAGGAGACCTTTTATTAATTAACTGCTTTATTGTATTTATATAGTAATCAAGAGTTCAAGGTTCTCCTCAAATAACATTGAGCAATGAACACAAAAATATATCAAGTGAAATATAAGTAGAGGAGAGAAATAATAAAAGGAAGGTATGAATCAAGCTGTGGTAACAAGATTAACTAGTGCAGAGAAAGTGCTTTGGCTGTTTATTGTGTTTCTCCTCTGAAGAGTTCTTTGAGTAGATCTTTCCAAACATCTTTTGTCTCCTTTTAAAGGAAAGGCATCTCAGCTAAGACTATGGGCGATAAGGATGGGCTAGAAGCAGGCTTTTCCCTTTGAACGATTTAAAAATATCCCCATCCCCTACCAGTGTACCATGCCTCTCGATTCCACCTTACCACAGGATTAACTTCCACATCAGACAAGGTAGTCAGAGGATTCAGTTGTCTAAATGGGAAATATTCCTGAGGGAAGGGTAGCACAGCCATCTTCTCAGCGATACTTATCTGTCAGATGAAGACTGGGAGGTGTGGGCTTTGAACAGATACGAATACAGTAGCATCAGTGGGAGGGGGTGGGATAGAGAAAAAAAATTCAGAGCATCCACAGTTCAGCCTGGGATTGGGGTGTAGCTCAGTGGCACAGTATCTACCTGGCAAGCACAAAGTTCTGAGTTCAGTTACCAGTACAAAAAAGAAGGTTCAGCCCATATAATGAGCTTTAAAAATAAAAATGTGCAAAAATGTAACTCATCTTTAGTAGCGCTTATTGTCAGCCACCTCCCTGCTTGGAGTGCATCAACCCATGGTGTTGGCCCCACATTCGTTTTTCCAACAACAGTTAGCTGTGTGAATCTGTTTACTTCAATACCATAGCTGCTGCTTTGTTACCTGTTTACTCTGAAACTATGCCAGCATGAAGTAGTAAATGCCACTGCAGAGAGGTTGAAAAGTGTCCTTGAGCCTTACCAGAGTCCATGATCTGATATGGAGGCAAAGATACTGGCACGAAAGAAGGTGCCTTCTGGTTTTTCTGTTAGGTTAGCATAATAATCATTCTCCTTTTAAATGTTCTTCACATTTGCCTTTTAACTATGTTTGCTTGGGCAGAATGAAGACCCTTATTACCTTATGCCTTGTTCCTTGAAATAGACCCTTACCTGGCCTCCTTTGTTATCCTGTTCCTCCGTGTTCCATACTCAATATCACTAAATTGCTTTTAACAGTTTTCTTCAAGTCATGCCTCAGCCCAAAGACTTGCTAGTGCTTGTAGTTGCCCACCAAATGCCATGCAAATTGCTTAGCAAATGTGCTTAAAGCCCTTTGTGATCTGGCTTCACTCACCTCTAGACTCATCTTCCAACACTCCAAATACACACTATATTCCACCGAATGTGCACCTTTCAGTTTCTGAACAGGCCTTCAGATTTGCTTCTTCACAGTTGCTAGTCCATTCCCTTTGTTCTCCCTCATCTTACTTCCTTTGGTTCAGATGCCAGGAGTTTTTTCTGCAAATCACTCATTAATCCACCTAGGTATAACCATTTATCTTTAAACATCTTAAGTTTTATGTCATTTGTAAGCCTCTTATCAGAAACTTTCTTGTCCTGTCTTTCCCTTTTGAACACTCCAGATTCATAAACTTACATATCTCATACAAACTTCAAATAAAATATGTTGAAAAATAAACATGGTATGTTCCAGGACTCTTCCTGTCACATAATATTCCTCATCTTAGAAAGTGGCACCTCCTCCCACCAACTTGCTCCAGCTAAAAACCTGGAAATCACACTTCATTTTCTTCTTTCTCTTCTATATGCAGTATGTCAACAAATCTGTCAGTTCTATTTCCAAAGTACAGTGTACCTTGAATCCACTCATTTTTACCACAGATGCTTTAGTCCAAACTGCTGTGATCTTCCATGGATTATAACCCCTCCTAACTGGAGACTTTGTTTCCACTTCTGTTCTCACAATTGCAGTATCACTGGAGACATTGTGATTTTTTTAAAAAGTACAACTCATGTGATTCTTCTGCTGAAAACCTTTAAATGATGTATTGTTACATGTAGAATAAAATCCCAGCCTAACATTGTCCTACAAGGTTGTCATCAGTCCTTTCATCGTAGACCACTTTCCCCAGCTCAGTAAAACATATCAAGCTCTTACTTACCTCAGATCGTTTACTCATACTCTTCCTTCTCCCAAGACATACTTTCCCCATGTGGCTCCTCCTAGAATGCTATATCTCTAGCCTTGGCATAGCTAACTGTTCCTCATCCTTTGGGTCTTTGAGTGTCACTTCTCAGACAGGTATTCCTTTTTTATTCTACCCTATTATCCTCTCAGCGTCCCATAAAGAATTATGTATCTCCCTGGGAAATGAGGCAGATTAGGGTGTGGCTGGCAGGCTAGGAAAGTGGGTGTGACCTTTTGTTGTTGTTTTTGTTTTTGGGTGTTTGGGTTTGTTTTGGGTTTTGGTGTTTTTTTGTTTTGTTTTGTTTTGCAATTCATTGCACCTCTCACAGTTTATGCACAGTATGTATACTTATTAGGTCACATACCTTTCACGCACTAAATAAGTGCTTATTGGGTACCTACCATGTGCAGTGTATTGAGGTGCTGAAGTCTTCTTCTAGAGGTGGTTTCTAGGTTCTTTCTGTCCTAAACAAAGAATTGGTCAAGACAAGTTCAAACTGTAGCAAGGTTTTACATTTATTAAAAAAAGAACAAACATACTCTGCAGAGCAGTTTGGGCCAAGAAAAAGTAGTAAAAGACAAACACTTTGGACTAATGTGGAAGAACAAAGTACCCCAGAGCTCACTGGTGACTTTCCCTTTGTATTTCCCACTCTTCAGGCTGGTGTTGGGTCTAGGCCATCTTATCAAATACCTGCTCAACTTCTCATGAGAAGTCTACATGTAAGGCTGTGGGAACTGTTCTGTTCATGTGTCCTAGAACTTTGCAATTAACAGGCCACACCCACTTTCCTAGCCTGCCAGCCACACCCTAATCTCCTGCCTCATTTCCCAGAGAGATACATAATCCTTTATGGGATGCTGAGGGAGAGGAGGTCTGCATCATATAGCTACTTTCCTGTTCGAAGGGGTTGTAGGCCCTACCTTCTGTGGATTATGTGCTCTCCAACCACCTTGGTGCTGGTATTGTAGCTCACTAGCAGAACACAATGAGACAACAGTATGAAGGACTGCTGAATTACTTTACTATTAGATTAAGGATGTATAGCCCAAATATGAGAACAAGCAAGTCAGGTTCCCATGCTTTCTGTGGAGGAGAAAGTGTGACAGAGAGGATGTTAGATAAATTATAGAAGTCTCACTGTGTAGTCCAGGCTGGCCTCAAACTGACAGCAGTCCTCCAAGTGCTAGGATAAATTATCAAGAGTTTGAGAGCCATAGCTTCATCAAGATTACCTATATTACATATATTAAAAACAAGAGTCTCAGTACATGTGTCTATCTAAACTGGTGAATTAGGGGTCATTAATGATTGCTTATCTGCACCTGGAGCAATACTGAAGTCTCTTTTTGAGAAGAGCCTCATGTCTTTTGGAAGTACATAGGAGTAGAGTCTTAGTCCTGTGAAAATTGTAGTGACCACTTTTCATGTAGTGTTCTTATAGCTTTCTGCTTTGTCTCTAGAGGAAGGATCAATTTAATGGTTCCTCAGGAACTGAGAATAAGGCTAGGGTCTTGAGAGGCTGGAAGGTTTCCTTTCTTGCCTCTCTACCAGCCTCTGATTTTCCAAGGAGACTCAAGACATGTCTCTTTGGGAGCCCTTGAAATATATGACAATGACATGCCTTAAAAAGTAGACTGTCTCTAGAGTTTGTAGGATTTCCTCATTGTACTTTATTTTATTAGCAGGCCCTTTTCCAAAGTGCTGTGTGGACACATAACTGCCCAGTAAAGGCTATGAGCTGTGTTTTGAGCACAGGTCCCTTGGAGCAAGAAGTTTGGCTTTAAGAATCACCTATTATTGTAAACTGACAACTATATGACCTGTTGTGCAGTTTTTTTTCTTGGACAAAGCTACTTATATCAGAGTGCCACCCCCTCAGTCTTTGAGTGACAAGTCACTGATGTCTTACATGCTCGCATATATCTGGGCAGTCGCCTGTTCACAAAAGTGACTAACCTCTGAGTGTGTAGGCATCAAACAGACAGTATTAACTGTAATGCAAATCTTGCTGTATGTGGTGACATATGGCTATAAGCCCAGCATCCCAGA